ATCTCTGTTGCTAGAAGCATAAACGCTTTCGTCTCATTCCTTTATCTGTCTATGTGACCCTCTCCTCCTATAATGGTGAAACCCTAACTTCTCTTTTAAAATAGCATTAGTTCAGCTTTCTAATAACTACTTTCCAACAGAACCGAATACATTTTTTGATCCTGAAAATTGCAAACAGACTTCTTCTCTTTCCACATGTGTATATGCCTGTGGGGGTGTAGATGAGGGGGCACCTGTCTTACAGGCTTTCCTCCATTTACCATCTCCCAGGGTGCGCACACAAAGAGCACATGCACCCATACACATAACCTTCACACACACCAAGTAGCAGGATTCCCAGCTGACATCCATCAATCTCCTGGAAGTTCGATGTTCCAGCATAAAAAAAACAGATGTTTGTTCCCTCTAACAGCCACAGCCAAAATGGCAATAGAGAGTACAGTTCACCATCCTTGACATTGTCATCCTCAGGCCTGTTCCAAGGTACCCTAAATTGTCTGCAAGGGAACTTTGGGGTTGGGAGAAAAGGAAAATACCTGTTCCCAATGGGAACAACTAAATTTAGCTCAAGGCTGCATCAGCAGTGAACTGGGAATGAGGTGGAGGAGAAACATGAGGACACCCCCCTCAAAAACAGTCGGTGAAGGGTCTTTGCACTGTGGCCATCAGGATGTGGGGACGAGCTATGATAAAATAATAGCTTTACAGTATTAAATTTGTAAATTAACACTAGGGGGAGCTAAATATTTAGGTGTTCAACTGAAAAACCTGTGCTTAGTGCCTTGAATGCACACCCCCAAGCGCACATACTCACACGCATACAAACTCAAATGGAGTTGCAACAGGGGACTACGTATGCAGCTCAAAGTTGAATTATGGAGTTCTTGGTGTTCCCCGCAAACATTTCTTGCAAACATTTCATTCCCAAACTAGATAAAATTTCAGTGCTCTTACATGGTTTGCTGGCCGGCTAGATTGGGAGGGAGGGAGGGATGGGTAGGTGGGTG